GTCTTCAAAACCGTATTCAAATTATTGTTATAAATTAAAAATGAAACGAAAACCTAGAATACAAAGTTTTTAAGAAAAAGAATTGCACAGCAAACAGGATTCAACTCCCTGGAGAAAAAAACTTAATTAAGTTTATCTGAATTATTTACTTAACAGCCGCAGAACCTCTTCTTCAATAAACACGGAATTTTAACACCAAAAAAAACTTCTCACATTTAAATCGATCCTTAATTGATCTTCCTATTCGTAACTGGCCCTTTCACAAATCTGCAAGGGTTGCAGTTCCATTCGATTGACGTGCTTAAGAAAATTAACTAAAGCGTGAAAAGAGGATTAAATGACAAATTGCAAGTGCCTTACCGTTATACTTATGCAGTATTTTACAAAGAAATCATGAACCAACTCAGCGTGGCAAACTTATCGCAAACCTCTTTCACGACAACGTAAAATTGTCCCATACTGCAATCTTTTTCAGGACGTTTATCTCTTCACGTCACGTCGCATGTCGCATACAATCTTTTATCTCTTAGAATCCGTCATCAAAGAAAACTGCAAAAGGTCGTTTGAGCTCATAAAACTTTGAGCGCTTTTTGTTTAGCTGATCTGACTGTGCCTTTTGATAAATTTTAATCAGAAGAAGATTGATGTTATTTATCACTAACAAAGGTATGAATGCATTGACATGGTTTAGACCAAAAGTAATTTTTAGTTAGATTCTTTAATGTTTAAATAACGATTTCCTGCTTCTATAAAACGCTAGAAGTGGAAGCTTCTATAAAACGCTCTCGACTAAGGAAAAGATGTTCAAAGGTGGCGGATAAGACTCTCGAAAGCAAGGAGCACTTGCAGAAGCTTGTAGTCGAAATGTAAAGTGATTTTTAATAAATGTTGGATCAGGACTTGTGGCGAGAGCTCTCAAGCCTTTTACGAACTGCTGGTCTTGATCCAGATATTTGACTCTCAACGGACAATATTTGCTTTAGGATTGTATGCTCTTGGAACGTTTAGCAAACGCTCTCGTATATTGAATAGTACAACTTATTCGCAAAATTCCAAAATTTTACAATTGCTAAAATGTATGCATGTCCTTTGTTTCGTTGAAGCGAAAAAATATTTACTAAATTTTAATACGTAAATACGCTCTAGGGCGGCATAGCCCGAGAAAGTCATCAGCTTAAAGCATTGCGTTGACTATTATTTTTTAATCCAGAAATATTTCAAATTTTATCATTTCACGTTTAAATTTTAAAGCAACTGTTTTAACACGTCGCTGGGAAAATTCAGTATCAATAATTTTTATTGTGCCACTTACCACAGTTATACAAGCAATGATTTAAATAAAGTTTGACTGCTGTGATGTTTCATCGTATTAAAGATTGTATTAAAAGTTGTCCTAAAGTGAAATAACTATAGAACATGGTATAAAATGAATCGAATGGAACATGGACAAAAATAGGTAACCTGATGACATTTATATATTTAGATCCATATATAAAACTTTCGTCTAAAGTTATACCTATGGCGGAAACTTTAGAACAGAAGAATACTGTTAGCGCACAGTATACGGCCGTTCAGGTTTGTAGTATCAACATTCTACGCGGAAAATATTATCTGTTTGCTATAGAAAATATGTGCGTTCAATGCAAAAACTTTTAGATCGATTCTTCAGCATGAAAAGTCTTCACTGGGTACCTGATGTAGAAATCTAATGATCTAATACTGAAATAAAAATTTGTTTGGATGATTGTTCAGTAAAAATTTTTTTATTTGGTACATTTAACTTGCCTGGATAATTTCAAGGAAATCAAGAGTCTTCAATGTTTTGTAAACTAATAAATTACAGTTTCAGATATGTATTCATATAAATTAAATTCAATCAAACAATCATTCTTGATTGAATTTAACATCCGGTGTGTACTCACCAAATTATTCTTGTTAAATATAAATAGTATAGATATGAATTACATTAGTGTTGTTATTATCAATAAAATTGTTAGTTTAAATTTACATACCGTTAACTCAAACACCCTGAATATGTCAATCATATTTTTTAATGTTATTTTGAGTTTACCATAAATATAGTTTCATATTACTACAGGACTATTAGGGGCAATAAATAGACTTTCGCGAAATTTTGTTTATTTTTAAAGAAAGTGTGCCTTGCTATTTGATTAACTATCACAAGTTATTAATGTTGGAGCTCTAGCATAAATTCTAAGAACACATCCACTGAAATGTTCCTGCAGATTTGCCTAAAACTTCCTGCGTCAACTTGCTACGGTCTGAAACTGCAACATTTGTACTTTATGAGTATTATTGAGAGTGACATACATTCCTGCATATTAGTCGAAATATTCTTGTAATTATGATTTACGAATCTGTGAAAAAGTTACTCCGTTTATCAACTGAATGTTTAGGTGGATGGCGAATATGGTATATTTGGAGACAGCCATAAACAGAGAGCATTTTTTTTCATGTATATGTTATAAGATAAAATAAAACAAGCGATCATTTATTTGAAATTTTTTGCTGAGAAGCTGGTAAATTGAAGTGACCAAGAAAGTTGGGTAAATGAAGTGAAATGTAATGATTTTCTATTAAAAATAAAAAAATAGTTGCAAAGGCATTTTGAACTACGTAAGAAGTCTTTTCTATTAGCGATATTTACTTATTTCTGAAGATTAACATTTTCTTCAACTGCGGAATTAATTCAATTTCTAATATACATATTTATATAGAGATGATAACCATATGTAAACCGTGCATCAAAAATCACCAAACTATTAGTCATTCGACATTCAGACGAGAGTATAATGAAAGTACGCTTATCAGAAATGTTGAGATTTAAATCCATTAATAAATATTAAGATTCTAGTGGAACACTGTGTAGAAATTTAATCTTATTAAATAATAACTATTTATCTTATATACATGTCGATTCGTAATGAAATGCATAAATATGTGTGCCTTAATAAGATGCAGTTTTATTTCTGTGCGTTTATATTATTCTTTATATATCTATTCTTTTTGACTATTCATTTGATAATTTCATAAACATTTATTCAATCCGCACCTAAATCAAATTTGGAGACTAATCAATAAAGTATATACAGGTTGGCTAGTAAACTAAGAAAAAAATAAGAAAAATCGCCCACTTGCACTTAATGCTAAAAACTCAGAAACTGTTCTTTCGAACAGTATTAATTTCATTAAAATAATGATAAATATCCTATCAAAAGCAATCCGTAGAGAATGATTTAAAATTAGCTCGAAGTTTTGAAGTTCAAATTTACGCTTAAGCAAAAACCGCGCATTTAATTCTCTATAGGTATTTAAATTTAAAACTTAATAAATTTGGAACCTTGAGCATGGGTTAAAATAAAACTTAATAATTATAAAACAATACAAGTAAAGTAAAATTGCGATCAATAATGTTGTTTAGAAGTATAAAATTTTAGTGGGCTTAAAAACCATTAAAAAACTGCGTTTTAATGAAAACTTTATCCAGGCTTTAATCTTAAATATATACTTTTAAACAAAAATGTCTTCCTTTTGGAAAATACTATTTCTTAAATTTCAAATAATTGAGTTCAATGAGTTAATGTACCTTGAGAATTTAGCTTAATATCTATTACCTCGACGCAGCCAAGCAATTTGTCGGTTTTATCATAATTTTCTAGAAAATTTCCAATGTTTACTCTCTTCTAGCTAGAATAATTCGAAAATTTTGACATGCTGATACCATGACATACATTTTGTAATAATAAAGCATTCTGAATATTGTGTTTAAATACCGTTATTTTAAAGAAAAAATTCACTTTCTAGTAATTCCAATGCAAACTATCAATAGGTAACACATTTGATTTGTTGTCGTTATTACCGCAAGAGAAACTTTCTGTTTCAAATTTAGTTTGAAAGACAAATTTTTATTTTGATTTTGAAAAAGGTTTATATAAAACTTGTATTCATTTTTTAGTTGTTAATTCGCAATCAATAAAAATAAAGCTTTATATTAATTGATTCAACAATAAATTTTCTTTTTTGAAAAATCTTTCTCACCGAACTTTTTGTAGATATTTTAAGGGAGGAAGACATATTTTAAAAGAAAAAATCAACAATATATCAGTAATTGCAGCAATTGGATTTAGTAATCGAATTTCGTTTGTCTGGAAACTAAATATATTAAATAAACGTTTCTGGTTCGGGGCGAAATTGTTCTTGGCAGAAATAATCGGGATTTAAAATAACGTAAAATTTTTGTTTCAAATCTGTTTGCGAAACGGCTTAAACTTAAGGAATTAAAATAAAAATGTGAATTTTGAATGCACACCTTATTGAATGATGTTTTATTGCAATTATCTAAAAAATATTCTCGCCGTTGCAATATTTCTGTTTTTTAAGTTGTAAAAAAGTCGATCCGATTATACGTACTTACCACAAACAGTTGCAGAAACCTGGCACGTTAAAACATAAAACAAAATATTTTTTATAAGTGTTGTGAAGAAAATATAAAGAACGGCTGCAACTATGAATAGTGTTACCGATATTCGTTTTGTGTATATGTGTGTGTAAAAATTTTCATCAGATTGATTGTTGCTTTAAAACTGGTCTTTGAAATAATATGTCGTACCGAAAACCAACTGCAAGAAAAAGGAATTTCTTCCTTGTACAAGTTTTAAAAGAAACATGTCATCAAGAATATCAATGAATGCACGTTTACCTTCATCTACTCGTGTTGGACAAAGTGAAAAAAAAATATCTCGGTATATTGTGGTTCTTATTATTATTATTATTACAATTACCGTTATGCAATAAACTGCAGCTTCATAAATAATGAACGAGTTTTGCAAATATTCCAGCAGCAACAATTTAGTTTTATAAATACCTTTCTTAAAGTAGCTCGTAAGATTGAATCACTAAGCAGAGTTCTAAACGAACCTTCCTCCATATTCATATGGTGGTTCAGATATAATAATTTATTTAAGTATTCGAATACTAACCACATAGTTTATGAGACATCCTTCCTTGGTGAAACTGGGTCTGGTTGGGACCAGTAAAATGCACGTATCCCTTGGTGCAAGGAATGTTCAGCCGAACCAGTTCTGCAACCAGTCCATGCCCATCATTGGGCGCAGGAAACCAAATTCGGCAATCCGAAAATGCTGGCAAGTCGTTATTGCTTAATGTGACTGATTGCCGACGCAAGTAAAGACGACATTCTGAAAAGTAACGGATGATATCAAAAACTCATTATTGAAATAATTTCCTACACGCGCCAGATATTAATTAATTACATTCTGCGAAACTTTCTTAAAATTGACTACCAACTGTACATATTGGAAACTTTCCCCAGCCTAACTAACTTCCAGAAAATTAGCATGTTACCCAATATGTGCTTTGTATTAAAGTTAGATTAATGTTCTAAAAACATGTAAGACTGAAGTTAGATTTGAAAACTTTGATTGCTTTCCAAGTTTATATACAGGAAGTTTCTTATAAATTCAGTTTTATCTTAAATTTACGGCCGGTGTTTTGCGAAGACTCTAGAACTATGACTATATTTTCCACTAGGTATTTAAAAATATAAATAAAACTGGACTGAAAGTACTATTTACGGAAAATTTGGTAGCATAAAGAATGCATAAGTGCGGAAATAAGTAAAAAGTCCTTTAAGTATTAACGCTTACGGGCTGCTAGATCATTTAGAATATTTATAACCAACGAGAATCGAGCATAATAGCAATTTTTATTAATGATGCTGTGTTGAAATATGAGTAGCGCATTTGGACAATTAGAACAAACTAAAATTTAGAATCAGCATCATGTAAACAACCTAAATAATCAAAAGAATGACTCAAGCCTACGAAGGGAACAAATAAAGATTGAAATATATTTGAAGAGAAACAAAATAAACTTACCGGATGATATAGTATACGTGAATATTGCTCGATGAATCGAAAGATTGTCTTCTGCTTTGTGGTTGATTCTAAAACAAAAAAAAAATTGATAGATACGAAATAAAGTCTTTGAATATTGAAATATTAATACAGAATGAATTATAAATATTTAACAAAAATGAAAATTACTAGATTAATTTGACTGATTGCACACTATATAGTAGTTTTGTATATTTACGGTTTCGGAGCTCCGTAGATTGTTGTGCAAAAAGACTATTTTTTACCTAAATGTATCATTCAGAACTGAATACATTTGAACTAACGCATTAGCCAAAGGTGCAAAGTTTTACTATTTGGTAATATGAAGAAACTATGGATATTTAGTGAAATAAGAGCACTTTGTGTCAATCTGTGATGGAACCCGTACGAACATTCTGTTTTATGAGTTTGTTGTGTGTTGTTTCGAGACGAAAATACATAAGAATTGAAAACATGAATATACTTAAACCATATAGAACTTAACTACATACTTTAAAATATAGTTTCATAACTCATATAAATGATAAGGAACAGCTCATGAGTTTTTAATTACAACATCAAATATGCAACGAAGATTTATAAGCGAGCACTCAGAAATTTTTAAATACAAGAAATATACATATAGAATTTTTGTTTGCAAATCTCAAAAGGCCTTCTTTGGTTTGAAATAGCTATCGAACCAACCCTTGATAAATATCTGAAAGATTTTTTGCAGAAGGCAAAAATTGGCTTTGCAAAAATTAAACGTCGACGCAAGAAGAACCAAACAGACCATTTCAAATGATATGTTTAGGTGAAGATAATGTTGTTTAAACGCTAGGTAACTAAAGGAAAGAAAGAAAAGATGGCGTGTAACATTTGGTTCACAAAATTCAAGGGAAAAAATATCTCCTGTAAAGATCATAAAGAGTTAAACATTCAGTATAGTCACGAATGTTGCAAAAACCTAAAGCCCGGATCTACTTTGTTAATTATTTGAACCTGAAAACCCTAGTCTCCCATGAATTGTTAAATTTGTGCTACTTAAAACACACCGACTGCGTTTAAAGTAAGTTACTGAAAAACACTAAAGTCTCGAACCATTCACATATAAGCGGTTTTTAGCTAGACAGTTTAATTAGAAATTTTCCAATACAGCGTTCAGAATTAGAACCAAATGTAGGAAACTGGTACATCGTAAAACTTTCAGAAATGGAATACACTCTAGATAATTGGCGAAAATTACATATTCGTAATTTCTGCTCTCCACAACTACTTTCCTTTTGAGTTTGATCTAGATTAACTAAAGAATCCATAAAATTCAGGTATTTATAGTGCGAATAACTGTTAATTGGTCCACACTTATATCTATGTTCGGTATTTTGATTTGTGTTTTCAAAACCGGTGAAATTATGTATTTTATGTTTGTTGTTGTTCAATTTTATTGTCTCGACCTGCTGTCGATAACCTTCTGCATACATTTATCCTGCAGCTATTGAAATACTATACATTCTTAATGAATATTTCCAATTATTCTGTTTCTTGAATTCTTGTTCAAACAGAGATAAAGATGAAAATGAAAGAAACAATTAAATCGCATCAATACTGATTGCTGGTACTCCGAACAAAACAGTTTGGTTTCGGTAGTGCGCACTTGAACAGGTAGCGATTATTTCGATTTTGCCCAGAAGACTTTGGTACCCGTGCAACCAGTACTTTTTTATTTCTCTTCTGCTGCATTTCTTTGCGGGTCAAGGTGGGACGTTAGTGGTAACCTTGATGGCCATTTGATAATATCTTCCGTGCGTTAATATTGCAACAAATGCGCGCCCAATACTATTTATTAATTATTTTCGATAAATAAATGTTCATTCAGTTAGTAAGTTCACTTGCCTTTGAATTGGTCAATAGTTTAGAAACGATAATTTTCCGGTCGCAATGGCAAATGTTAATGAAGCACCATTGGAATTGGCAGATCAGCAATCAAGTAAGAAAACATTTTCAATTTTAGACAAAAACTGGGAACGCAGTGATATCTGGCGATGTTTGGACAACATAATTTTTGTCGTTAGCATTGATATATTAGTACATTCTCAATAATACAGTTATATAAAGTGATAATTCTACAGTAGTTTTCTAATTATGCCATTTAACATAAACATGACTAGATTATTGCGATCTATTTTTGCGCAATTAGTAGAAACAGAATTACTTTCGTTGAGCATGAATCATTTTAATTGGTGTGCTAGGTTACTTTTTAAGTATTGAAATACTCAAAAATACTTGAAAATGTTTAATTAGTTGCTTGGTATATTCATATATTAAGCCGAACACATTTTGCCACATTGCATAGTAGCGCTTGACCTAGATACATAAATATTATCAAATAGATTTATTTATGCAAAATTCATAATGTGAGATAATTGAATACAATTTTAATGTGGTGGATTTCGAATCTATGAAGCCCTAACATATTGAAATTGATGGAGGTTTCATGATAAGATGACTTTTCATCTATCATCTTTCTATCTAAAAAAATTAATTAATTAATTAAAGGGCTGAAACATGTGCTTCCTAGTCAGGCGCCAAATACCTCATATCAAAAGTGCTTTAAAATTGTATTCAAATTAAGTTTGCCCTTCAGGAATTCCCTTGATCATAATATAGGATACCCGTTATAAATTTATTTTTATTAAACATTGATTGCCTATTCTTTAACTGCACTCAAACCAACAAAGTGAGATTTTAAAAAGTACATACAAGCTATCAGTTTCCTAAATGCTTAAAATATAAGTAGGTCTACACAAGGTAATTAGTTGCGTCACTAATTCATCTAAATGTGTGTTATCTTTTAAACCCTTTTTGACAATAAACACAGTACTTGAGAACTGCATAAATTAATTTTATACACCATTACAAACGCTTACATGCAATAGTTTACGTTGCAAGATCATGAGCATTTTCTTGCTTTCTATCAATAGGGTATATAGTTGCGTACAATGTACCAAAAGTTCGATTGTATCCTCAGTACAATGTACGAAAAAACTCATTGAACTATTTTTAATCTGAAATCTGACAATTCAGCATTGTACTGCATCGATTTAAATCAAAATATTCAAGAGTGGGTTACATTGTGTTACTTAACAACTCCACAAAATTGTGTAATTTTAACAAGTGTTTTTCATGACTTGGTAATATTTTATTTAAATTCTTAACTTTTTAAATTTATTTTGAAGTATATTTATTTATGTATATGTACAGGGTGTCCCCTAAGCACATGATCTTTGGCTCAAATGATGGCCATATGATTAAACTTTAAAAAAAGTTCGGCTTCTGCAATGAATGGTCAAAGTTCTTCAAAAAAATACTGTTTTTTTAAATCGGGAGAATTGTACGATGGCTTTTATTAAAACTCGCTTTAAATTTGTTCCTATGCAAGACTCATGTTTTGATGAGGAACCGAGTTTATACGCTTTGAACAAGTGAGGAATTCTTCAGTGTCTTGGTACAAAAAAGATCATAACTTTTTATTCGGTTGCTGGAATTAACTGATTGATTTTGAGGTCATGCACTAATTTTTTTAAGAACTTTGACCATCAATTGCAGAGGCGTTGGACGTAGCAGATAATATCATGTGCTTCCGGGACACCCTGTATATACAGTAAAATATTTATACATTTTACGCTTCAAAGAACTCAGTTAAAGTTTACGCTTTCAAATTGCAAACTAAAGTATTTCGAATACAATTTTCTGGGAAATCGAATAAAAATTCATTTCTAAAACGTTGTCGATTCCTGCTAAACATGAACAAGTGCTCGACTAATACAAACCATTGTGTGCAACTTCATGTGAATAAATACTAATGAGCACATTTTCTTCTTTGATTTTTTTGTAGCGATTGCAAAGTCACGATATTTACACTTTACTATTATACAGGGTGATGGTTTTTTTCTCTTGGAGATTCGGTCTGGGCAGTGGTGAAAAAAATAAAAGCATTTTTAGCTACCAAGCGTTCGGCGATTTATTGTCGCCTTTTTCAAGGCTGAAAGAGTTGTTACGATTTCGTCAAACATGAGCTCTGAATTAAATGGGGTACAAAACTTAAGGGACTTTTTATTTGGGTACAGTGTACCTACTTGCTACTAATTGTTTGTCATAAGTAATCTGGGAATTCTCCAGAATCTGTTGTCTGTTACAATCTTTTTAGACTTGATTCACATTGCCGAGTTACAGGTTGTCACGGATTAAAATTAAGAATTAACAAATAACATAAGAAGGCGACAACAAATCGCCGAAAGCTTGGTAGCTAAAAAAGCTTTTCTGTTTTTCACCACTGCCCAGACCGAATCCCAAGAAAGAAAAACCATCTTTTAATTATTCGTTTATCGGTCAGGAAACAAACACTATTAACAGGGTGGCTAAAGGAAAACTCAGCGTTTCTAAATTTAAAAAATCAAACGAGTTATGGCCGCAAAGAAAATCAAAGAACTTTTCAAACAAGGCATACTAAACCCAACATTAGATTTAAAATTTTGTCCAACCCGCGCTAAGGGAATAAAGGTGGGTGTTCTATTACATTCTGAAAATGTTTCTGGTGGAGAATCAAAATTGGTGCGTTCTAGCGTTTTTTTAATATCTACTTCAGTAGCGGAAAATGCCGTTGTTTCGCTTTGGTTTAGCCGCCATGGTTCATTCATTAAACTGCGGAAAACGCAAAATATGTTTTAATTAATGAGTTTATTTAGGTAGCAATCAAAGAATATATTGTGTGTCTCAATTTGCCACAAAAGTCATTGAATTCTGAGAGGTACAAGTATGAAAAATTCCTGATTTTTTTTCGTAAGCGCGTAACAATTTTGACACAACCACCAAGACAAGCTTGCAAATTAATGATGTAGGAAGGATCTTGTTCACATATCTAATGTTTTGAAAGTTTAGCGAAATAAGCAAATTCGAACAATTTGATTAAAATTTAAAAAACCTAATTTAATTTAAGCCTTAACTTTGTGTACTGTTAAAAATATTCTACGCTTTTTATTGGTAGTTTGAAAAATTAAATACCCCATTAAGAAAATTCCAACTTTTGAGTACAACAACCACCAATCAACTTTCAGTTACGGAAAATGCCTACAAGTAGATTTTTGTCTATAAGTCAATATTGGCATATTTGTCTGTCCAATTAGTCTTGGTCCGCAGTGCGCTTAATTGTTTAAAATTTTAATTTACATTTCATTTTACGCAATCTCAATTTTGTTTAACAACAAATTTAGTCTTTGTTTATTTTTTTTTGACAGGTATTTTGTTTGTCTTTTATTCATAATTGTCCTCGGCAGTGAATTTAATTAACGGTACATCATATATTTATCTATGAGGAAACGCTTTACTACCCCATTAATTAAATTATTGATTTTGGTGAATTTGAATTCTATAATTAATGCATTTAAAAAGTATATTTTGTAACAATAAATATTATGTATAAATTAACTAGCGTGTTTATTTTATTTAGAACCTGTCCTTATATAATATTACCAAAATGATTAAGTTAGGTATTTTAACAAGGCAAGCAAATGCAATGATCGCACAAACATTTTAAAGTGTAACTGATGTGTTATCTTCAATCTTATAATAATAATAACATCAAGTTATTATTTTTTAGGTATTTGCTTCTGATTTTGTTTTGCTTTGTTAAAGCGTCACTAATTCATTCATCAGTTGTTCCTTGATTTGCCAGAACCATTATGTCTAATTCAGATGTTCTACTTTTTCGCAGGTTCACCTTTTATAAAAGTTCGATATATACAAGTCGTTCTTTTATTTTTTATGCTGGGAATTTCATTCAGCATTAGAATATGTTTGTCAGTTGCCATTGTTGCCATGACCTCAAATAGTACTTCTAGTAATCCAGATGTTCCAGTACGTATATTGAGTTACTATTAGCATTCGCTTATTTATGTCATTATCCAAAATATATTCGGATACTATAGAAAATGTTTCCTTAATATTATATGAACAAAAGTAAAGCTCAAGAGCAATGCAATCATAACAATAGTCGAGATTTTTTGGAGGCTCCAGTAATTGAACTTATAGAACAGAACAATAATCAACTATTAACTTCTAAATTATTTAGATGCTTTTGATAAAGAAACCACTCTTTAGATACATAAGGAAGTTAAGGAAATATTTAACGAGTTGTACATATCTGATTTACAACGTTCTTTACTTAAGAAATCTAAATTAATGTGCTATTAATTTTCTGTACAACTTTGCAAATTAAATAGAACCTGAAGCGATCAGTTGAATCCAACTATTAGAAAAGCATTTTAAAATAGTACTTATTTGAGTATGATTTAACATAAATTACTAAAATGTATTAGTTAGTTATTTCATAAGCATATTTTAATTAAAACGGCTTATCGTAAAAATTTAGTTTCTATTTGTTCACATCATGTATTGTTTTTTCCAGTATTATGATTGGGGTAATTCGAATATCATTCTCTCCTCGTTCTACTGGAGTTACGCTATACTTCAGTTTGTGGCCGGCAATTTTGTTCATTGGTTTGGCACAAAAAAATTAATTTTGGTGTCAATTTTTGCAAATTCCGTAACATGTGCCCTCGTAAGTAGATTTTGGGAATCTTGAATAAATGTCTTTCTCTTAGTTGGTTGGAATTATTTAAAGATTCCATTGGCAGCAAAGTGTGCCGGAGCTAACGGAGTGATGGTTTTACGTGTTATTCAAGGGCTCTTTCAAGGGTTTCTACTTCCCTGCATGAATGGGGTGTTGGGAAGATGGTTACCACCAACTGAACTATCTTACCTCACATCAATAGTTTTTTCAGGTACATTGCAAAAATGCTTTTTAAATATTTATATTGAACTAGGGGGGAGCGTTATGCATTTTATAATTTTTTTTAAGGTTATCAGGTGGGAGCTATAGCTTCAACAGTAATTACTGGCTATTTCTCAGCTTCTCATTGGGGTTGGCCCGCAGCATTTTACTTATTTGCCGCTCTTGGGTTTGTTTGGTGCATATTTTGGGCATTTCTTAGTGCCGAGACTCCAGCAACACATCCGTCAATTACGAAAGAGGAGCGAAAATATATAGAGCATTCACTTGGCCAACAGGATGATCATTTGGTGCGTTAATTTCAACAAAATAACCGTATATGTGTATAATAAATTAAAAAACGTTTTTACATATAAATTTAATGTTTTTATTATTTTTAGATTGGCAAAAAATCGATTCCATGGAGTGCCATTTTGAAGTCGGTGCCCTATTGGGCCATTATAATTGCGGCTATTGGAGAGTCATGGTCGACCACATTTTTATCGGCTGAACTGCCCAGTTATCTAAGTTATGCAATTGGGCTTGACATTCAGGAAGTGAGAATCGATTAAAAATACAATGGAAAATGGAAGAATGTTCGAATGCCATTGTGTCTGTGCTATCTAAGTATTTAAAGTGATTACGGCCATTTTTCCATTAATTCACTACCATTATCATTAACCGAGTATAAATTGATTGTCGTTTTTCTATGAATGCTACTCAATGCTTTGAAAATTTTTATCTACTTTGGTTGTGTAACGCCAAGACAAAATTTCTTACTCGAAAGCGGAAAATCTAAAATGTTCACGGAATTAAAAATACGTTTACAAACACAAATAATATCAAGAATTGAAATATTTTTTTATTGTTATGCATTGATCTTACTCAAAATTTTATTTGTCCTACAAGACCAACTTTTTATTGCATTTTTAGAGTAGCCTATTTTCTGCTGCTCCAGTAGTAGGGGCATTGATTGGATGCCTTTGCTATAGCCCTATCGCAGGATACGCCATAAAAAAGGGTTACATTACAACTATAAATTCCCGAAGATTTTTTCAGGGATTTAGTAAGTTGCTTCCAGATCTTATATTTCGGTAAAGCGAAAATTCCGTAATGACTTACCAACAATATTTTTTGTTACCAATTATCACTTTTTCATTTTATATCACAATTTACAAATCAGAAATCAGTAATTCATGTAATGTATATTGACATGGTATGCTTCTGGCTAGATATACAGGGTGTCAAAATAACATGATAAGTTCCGATAGACATAGCTTCCTTACCACGATATAAGCCGTAATATAAATGACGCCGCTGAAAATCGGGTTTTATTAACTAACTCTTAAAGGACTTGGTATAATTTGGCATAAACTCGTTTTGCTGTTTGAGTTCGCCAAGATCGACCAGCTTATACACATCAATGCTTCTATATATAAAACCCTGTGGTATAAAATCCATTAAAGCTTAAACTAAAAAAAAGTACTGCTTGACATCGATAAAATGATGTTTGTTCCAACAGGATTGCCTTCTAATCATGAAAGTTTGAGACCGAACGACAATAAGAATCAATCTCGTTTTTAAACTGAAATCCTTACTGTAAATAATATTTATTTTTGTAATGTTTAAAATTTTCGGATTTTTTGCATAGTTAAGCTGCTCAACAAAATAGTCAGTACACGGCCATATTTTCCTTAATACAGGATAACTTTTGATTATGGTGAGAGATTTGATTTCTTTTGAAGCTATTTCTAATCCAATTTGTGCTCTGTTGGTAAGTGTTTTTGCAAAAATTTAGTGCTGCAGATAAATTTCATAAAGAATGAAAAATGAAACAATGCAAAAGTTTAGAAAATCATTTTTTCCCTAAATTTAAAAAGACAAATTTTCCGGATTTTGCAATAAAGGGCAAAAATATAGACCTCGTACTTAGTAGTCTACTTACGACGAAAATCCGATATACAGGGTTGTATCATTAAGCGAATTATTTAAGAGTGAAGTTCGCTTTAATTGAAGGTCTGCCAGAACCCGAGACTTCGGGCGCAGTTCTGACTTGACTATGAAGTTTTAACTTCAACATGAGCTCTATATTTTTAAAATCAGTCCATGAGGAACAGCAAAACCAGTAAGTTGATTTTTGACAACCCTGTAAATACAAGACACAAAAATTAAAAAAAACATTTAGAGATATAGGGCCTTTCTTTATGCCTTTAGGGTTCAAATCCCTAAACATGTTTTTGTGCAACTACGAGCATGTCAAACTTTTAGTAAGTTTGCATTATTTTATTAGCCACCATGCAGAAGACTAATCTTTTGCAAAAACACTGACGAACAGAAAAACAACTAAACTAGAAAACTTTAAACAAAAACGCTTTAAACAGAAATCCAATCGCTCACTGCAATCAGACTTTATCCAGGTCCAAATTTAGTGGAAATTTGAAACATTTATTTTCTTGGGCAGTATAGTTAAATTTGCATTCCCCATCTGTCATCAGTTTTTAATTTAGATTTTGAAAAAGGTCTGATGTAATTAAAAAGGTATTAAAATGCTAAGCTTTAATTGGAAAACGGGCCATTTTAGCGATGTCAAACAACAGTACTTTTTTAAATTCAAACTTCGAGATATCGACAAACATTTTTCTTATGCTATAATGATTCAGGATATTAATCATCGAAACATTTTTCAATTAATTTAAAAGTAAATTCAGAAAAACCGATTTTCACAAACACTTATCAAGTAATTTTGACTCCTGTATCTGAAAGTACTCCCACGTATCCGACTATAAAAAATCAAACATGCTATAATAGATTTGCAGGTACAGTACGGTAAGTGGTAAAATTGCAATTTTTATCAAATGTCGTCATTAAATGTGGAAAATCCTAAAGTTTCCTGCTAAATCTCAAATGGGCGCGCGCTTAAAGAAAACTTGTATTATAAGCTTTTAATTAAAAAACAAGTTCTTGTTAACATCGTGTTCTACGACGTCTTTATCGGTAAATCTGCGATTCCCTTTTTCGGTTTTCCCCATTAGCATTCTTCCGCCTTGGTTTTTTGTCAGCTTTTCTCGCGAACACTTGAATTCTTGTAAACTTTTCGCCCTTTTTCTAATTTAGCTCTCAAACTGAAATTTAAACTGACACTTGTTTCTATACTTTTAAGTAAGTATATGCAAAAATTAGACAGGGTCAAGTTTTAATATTTTTAGGAATTCATATTCAAAAACTTACATTTTGCGCCACTTGTAATTTAAATGATCCAACATACAGGTTGTTATGCTTTTTATAATAATTTTGCTGCCATCGAGTAGTGCTTAATGATAAATTCGTTAATTTTACTGCATGTTGGGGTTTAAAAAAAAAGATAGATTTATCTATGCATTGTTTCTAGGTATGTTTTCTGTCAGTATCGGTTTTCTGCTGCTTCCTTATATAGTGGATAGAACCATAATAGCAGTTGTTCTGATTGGATCCACAACTGCAGGCGCTGCAGTTATAGGTGGTCATATAATTAACCATCTCGATTTGTCTCCAAGATATGCAGCTATACTCTCAGGAATCTCAAATGGGATCGGGCAGTTAATTGCTATTTTTGCTCCCATTTTAGTGCATTTTATTGTAACCGATCAGGTAAGTGCAGATGAAATGTCCTGTGTAAAATTATATTACTAGAATGACTGTAGTACATTTTTTTTGAAGCCAGTGTCCAGGTTTCACTAAACGTTATTTAACTTCTATATTATTTTCGATTATTTTCCGAACATTTTCATGTAAAATACGCTACACATATATTTTAGACTGATGCCAGACTTTGGGGATATACTTTTGTACTATCGGCCATAGTAGGGATATCAACGACGATCTTCTTTATTTGGTTTTGTTCTGGTGAAAGGCAATGGTGGGATGAGGTGGACAAAAAACGATACGAAGCCTCAACTGAAACTCCTCTACCCGAATATGGTAAAACAAATCCCGCATTTAGCGGCGAAACATGACGGATGCTTTATTTACTTATTTTGTATTTTGCATAGAGCAATATAAAATTAAATACAATCAATATGTTGTTTTATTTAAAAAGAGATAGATAAATCGCAAATGATCGTGCAAAGGAAACTACACATTAAGGAATAAACGTACAATAGTCCATGAAAGGATCAACTGATTACAAATGACACATAATTAAAGTAAGAAAATTTATTAATATTGACCTCAACTTACTTAGAGCTTTGAGCTTTTGCTGACTCAATTCAGATGGGTTCTCATAAATCATGTTTTAATTATAATTTGCTTTGCAGGTTTCTTTTGCTTTTAACGTTCTCTGTTTTCTATCTGAGACAAAGCTATTGATGCTCCACACCATTAACCAGTTATAATTCCAGGATGAAAGTATCGCTGTGCCTCATTTTTACACATTTCTTTTCATGCCGTTCTCAGTTACCTGTTCCAATTTTTTTTTATTTCTCACTGTTCGTCGAGTTGTTCTTCCTCAAATTTTTATTGACTTGATTATAAATTAATTATGCTATAACCTTTATTGGAAGGACACTACCAATATTTTGTTTATGGCAAGTTTTTCTTTATTCTGATCTTAGTCGCATCCGTAATATCAGCGACTTTTTTCTTTGTACGAAAAAAATTGCATTGATGCATTGATATATTTTTATTTTGTTCATATTTGGTTTGAATTTCCCAGAATATTTGGCTAGTTTTATACGGTGGGTTTTTGTCTTTTGTCGTTAAATTCTATTGCCATAAAGCTGCATGCAAATACAATTAGACTTATTTGTGAAACACACGAAAACCCGTCTTCGTCGGTTTTCTTACGGGTCAGCTAAGTTAAAAAAAATGCATATCCTATAGTACTAGAATAGACATGCATAGTTTAAATAACAATTTGTAGAATTCAATGTTCTACAAGCTCCTTTACCATAAAGACAAATTATTGAATGCGTATTACGTTCCCCATAAAAGACCCCAAAATGCTTCACGATTCCGATCTTAGAAACTGTTGAACTTAACTGAAAAACTTGCATCTAGAAGTGAGAATTACTTCCATGTGGAAAACTCGCTTTGACTGTAAATAAAGGCTATGAATTTTTGAATAAAAATTTGTTGATTTTAAACATTGATTTCTAAAAACCAGTGTGGTTTTTCTTATGTCTGAAAAGAAATGAATGCTCCTTAATCATTAATATCTTGGAAATAGTTGAAAATTATTAACTAGTTCCACGAACCATTTGTATAAAGCATGACAAGAAAAATATATAGTTTTTAGATATTTGCAACTTATAAACTGTCTCTTATAAAGACTTAAGTCTCTTTAAGGAGATCGCGGTCTGGAGAAAAAATTATAAGTCTGTGACCCTTAAGAAAGAGGCTGGACGATTAGTATAATGCTTTTTAGCGTTTAAAGATGATAAAGATTAATTAGCATTTAAAGATGTATTTTCAATAAAAAAAAGTTACAATTTAAGTAGTAATTTCCTGCGAAAAGAACCATAATTTAATTCACTCAAAACTTAAGAAGAAAATTCGTTAACGACCACTCGTAAGGAGTGATTCAATACCGAATGGTTAAGCTCTTCAGATGTCCCCAATTTAGCAAGAATTGTATTGTACTGATTTGGATTAAGTATATGAAGTGCTATCGTGTGGCGAAACTAAATTGAAGGTTCAGGCAGAGCTCTTATTTGAAGATTCCCAAAAGCTTCGAATTCTACATCTGGAATATCGTTGAATTATAAAGACCTTAAAGTGCAGCGTCCCGGTAAAGTCGTAACAGCAAAAAACGCAGGGATCTGCTCCTAAAGAAAATCCCAGACTTTAAAAAATTGATGTCTAAAAATCTAAATAAGCAATTCCTTTTTCTTGTGGGAATTGAGGCGAATTTGAACAGTGCTGTTCTCCATAAAGAACAAACGGTTAAACATTTAGATAGTTCATTTCGTTACGAATCAATCTGTCTCTGTACGGGCAGTCACTCTTAAATAATAACCGCCCTTAAAAGTAATGTAATCGTTTACAGAGGAAACTTGAGTAGCAGATTTTAATGGCAAATTAGTAAATAAAGGTCTTAAATGAAAGAGGTTAATTATAATATCTATGTCTGGGAAAATAGTATCAAAACATCAATTTGATTTGATTCGTTAGGTCTCAATCTATTTTAACCAGAAAATGTTAAAATATTAATTTTTTCAAATAGCGACTGAAGAACGTGGACAGAAATGGTAATTCGGAGAAATTTTAAGGTTTGCTTGAATTTGTGCTAGTCTTTGAACATTTGCTTAGGGAAACTTACTCATCTTGTCATTTCCAGTTGAAATAATTTTGTTTATTGTTTAGAAGAAGAATTGTTATTTTGTTATTAACAAAATAACTCATTTGATCAATGGGAGCTGGGGTACTTTCGAAAGGCTCTGCTTTTGGTTTTTTTGAATTTAGCTACAGCTGTTTTTAGGTCCATTTAAAAAGTAAAAACTTTTGACCGTACACCGGCTAAATCTTCTATTTTTAGGTAAACTTAATTACATTAAATTAATGGTCTGTGATCTTAATACTTATCATAATTATGTCTTTCCTGTGACTGTTTCTACCTTCGACTTGGTATGAAATTGAATTGAGATTAACTTAACGCAAACTATTTTATTTATTGCTGATAAATTTTACAGCTTTATTTCTCGGTTTCTGCTTTCCACTAAACCTTTTAGCTTTTATTATTCATATAGTTGTATTTATAATTTTGCGTAAATGTAGGAAAGAAGCATCTAGTGATTAGAAAAATCACTCAAGCCATAACACATTATTTCACTTGATAATTTAATAATAACACGTTATTCCCCACAGTGAATTCAAAAATATTTTCTGAAGCTGAACTGAAGCAACATTTCACTTAGGCAAGTTTATCAAGCCACAAAGCGACCATCGCATTTTATCTCCCAGTAACCTTATTTTCCGTCTATTTAAATCACGTGTGCTGTAGCATGATTTTAGAAGTCCATTTAAAATGATTAGTCTGGTTAGTTTTGTATTGGTTTATGAATGCTTTGTTACCAATTTATGCTACACTAAATCCTCTTAAGCAGATAAGGTTAATTGTTATCGACGACGATTTCAAATAATTTTACATATATGCATTGAAAATGCGAGTTGTGTTTCTCTATAGTCAACGAGAATGGTTTGTAGTGTCGTCGAATTTGATTTTATTTCACATAGGTTATTAAGTCGGATTTGCGGGATTTAGATTAGAAAAATTGTGATTGCGAGTGATGTGTACAATTCGAGTTAACTATTCTTCCATAGAAAAGATGGAAGCAATCAGTGACAAAAAAGTTTCAGGTAAGGCATTGAAATCTTACCACTCAAAATATAGTGGCTAAATATTTGGGATTGTTATATCTTTTTCTTCTGTCTGTGCTACTGTGTCACCGGACTTGGTGATTTAAATTTTACTTTAAAATCCCTGATGGGAAATCTGGTAAATACTTGTAATGCAAAGAAGACGCAAACTGATTGATTGGTAGTAGAGTGGCAGTTAGACAGTAGGTATGCTTTATTGTACATTTATAACCAGTCAAACCTTGGTATAAAAGTATTTTTGCGAAAAGTCAAGGCTTCTCCTTTTCGACTTGCCAATTTTCGTATTTTGAAAACAAGCGCACTTTATTTGGTTTTGATATAAGCGCATTTAAAAGCCAATATATCGCAATTTATCTTCTATGAATTTATTCATCTTTAATTAATTTTAAGGTTTTTCATACATGAGATGATTTGTTGGACAATATTATGATTAATAATGTATTTCCATTTTAAAACATTAAGAAACCACATAGGGTATTTCGATAAGGTTGGCATAACATATTCGTTTTTATGCATAGTTTAATTGATAACTACCATTTTATCTCAGTTCTCTAATCATCATTAGACAAAACATAGTTTACAGACTAGGACTCAGCTTCTCGATAGTGATTTTATGTAAAATCCTTATGGATTCGTAAAATTTAAAACACACCTGAAATTGGCAGTTTCCATTTCATATGAATGATATGCAGGTCTTTGTTCCCGGCATTTAAAATACGTAGATTATTAAACTTTAAATCAAGCGCAAATAAATATAAATCTAGCATCGATTTTTCGAATGAAAGGAAAACAATAATTTGAGCACTACTTAAGCCCTTGAGAAGCACTCAAAGTTATGTAAAAATCTCGTAACTAAAAATCTAAAACGGAAAGTGCTGCAGAAGTTTAATATAATAATAAGATTGAAACAGCTACGTAGGTATAAAGACCATTATGGAACAGTATTTCTTAAACTTAACATTTTTTGGGGAATTAAACATTTTTTAATCGTTGGTTAATACAGATCATGGAAGATTGAGCCTTAGTGCAAGTAGCACTTTTTCAGCAAAAATCGCTTGTCAACTAGTGTCATAATTAAAATATATCTCAACAAACCTAATATTTTTAAGTCTTCATATCTTGTTACCGGTAGTTGTAAGAACAAATTTAGTTAAAATAGAACATGTTTTAGCCTGTATCGTAAGTAAGTATTCCCACGACCGGTTTTAGACATATAAGGCCCCATGAGCTGGTTTTTAGGTTACAAAAATACAACTTTAGTTTTTCTTAAAAAATAGAGAAATTAACTTAAATCGCATAAACCAATATAATCTGACCGAAAAATGATTGCTTTATCTAATCACGCATATAATTTAAATTACGTCTCTTTTCATTGTTAGCTCAAAGTAAATGTAATGTAAACTCTTATTGATAGAAATGCTTAATGCTGTTCCTTAACGAGGCAAATATTTCAATTATGTTTTTTTGATCCATTCCTTTAACTAGAACAACCTTTGTTTTATATCTTGTTTCCTTTGTTGACTGTTGAAGTCTACTGCATAGTATTTTTCTTTCAGTGCCATGGATAAAAATAAGATACGTACAAATGGTCCTGCTGTTCTTCCTATTGGGGATGTCTTATGCGATAAGAACGATTTTGTCTGTAGCCATTGTAGCGATGGTCACTACAGATACGTCCATTAACAGTGATATTCCCGTAAGCATGTAGTTCAAATTTTTATTTCGAGAGCACCTTCAGATTGATTACGAATATATTCAACGTTTTGGGAGCTAATAATGCTGAGCTGCTTGTATTCTAAATCAAAATTTGTGTTTGATTCGTTTAAAATTGCATGCGAATTGTTGGTTAAGTTAAAATCAGGTTGTTTCAGACATTTGACTGGAAAAATACTGGAGTAATTTTATCAGCATTTTATTGGAGCTACGCATTGCTCCAGTTTTTTGCTGGACCAATAGCACACACATTTTCTCCGAAATGGATATTGACCATTGCAATGGTAGTCAATTCAGGTACAAAATAACGGAAATCTCCGAAATAGTCAACGACCATAAATTTTGAGAACCAGAAAGTCAGTCAAAAACATACTCAAAGCAAAAGTTTATCAATCAATTAAATAATAATTTAAATACGTAATTATTTTAAAAGTGCTTTGGATCAATCCAACTAGAATAAATCGGATTGTTAAATAGGCACAAGCTTACTGATACCTATTCTGGCCGTTCATCTGGGATCAGGAGGAGTGATTGCATGCAGAGTAATTCAAGGTATAGCTCAGGGATTTATAATACCTTTGGTTCACACTATGCTGGGGCGATGGGCGCCGACGGAAGAGAGATCTTGGATTAACACTACGGTATATTCTGGTTTGTATTTATGTATATGTTCAAAATTAACCGGGGCAATTGTTGCGAATAAAAGAGAAGGACATTCGAAATGTTTTCTGCTGAAAGAAGGGAGTTTTCAGAGGAAAATTACCAATAGCGTTTTGTTATGAAAACAAGAATAATCCTTTTTTAGAAGCACGCTTCTGCAAATTGTCGTAAATTTTCGGTGAGTGATTTAAAAAATGCTTTCGTTATATTGGTTCATGGCAAAAAAATTAAAAACAAAAAGGTTGCAAATCAAAAACTAATATAGTATTCGGTTTTTCTAGTGTAACATTTCAAAATATTGTTTCGAAAGACGACGGACAAATTTTGGATTTGTAAACACCATAAAAATGCAAATTTTTATCATTACAGCTCAATAACTAAAAACCAGTCACTATTCGTTCATTCGTTCATATTTCATAAAAAAAGTGAGTAAAATTGAGTAAAAAATCCAAAAATAAAATAAAAGACAAGGGGTGTCTGTGAAAAAAAATGGTTTCCGAACTGCAACGTTTCTGGCACATTTTGTACAATTTTGAATACAATTAAAATATGCGCTATTGGTACCGATAAAAAATAACTATAATAATTTTGAAACAAAAAATAGCCCTAACAGTAAAATTACTTTAGTCTATAGTTGGTACAACCTGCACTAATTCGATTTTCTCTCATTGAAATGACGTTTTGATGATATTATTAACGCAATTTCTTTCACTTTTTTTAGACACAGTTTTCGAAATTAGGTTCACCCAAACTAACCCAATCTAGTTGCATAATAAACAATTCAATTTTCTAAAGATGAATAATAAAGCAATATCTTCTTCCCCAATTTATTTAAAAAATCCGAATATTTATATAAAGTTTGTACCTTTTAGGCTGTAGCTTTGGAACGATTATTTCTATGCCAATCACCGGCTACATATCAGCTTCATGGTTGGGTTGGCCGTTCTCTTTTTACTTATTTGGAATTCTCGGTATGGTTTGGTGCGTTTTCTGGATTATTTTTAGTGCAGATCGGCCAGCCACTCATAAAAGCATTAGCTTGGAAGAACGCAGGTACATTGAAGAGTCTTTAGGGCAAGCCGAAGAAGAAAATATCCAAGTGGTAACTTAGCAGCCAGTAGAAGACACATGAATGTAATGATGCAAGTTTTAGAACGAGAAAGTGCCTTGGAGGGCCATATTAACTTCTCTACCATATTGGGCGGTTGTAGTTGGAGCTATTGGCGAATCTTGGGGAAGCACGTTTTTGATTACAGAAATCCCCACGTATTTGAGCAAAACCACTGATATTAACATTGAAAAAGTGAGAATTTACTTTTTAAATCTTATGTAAAGTGTCCGCTTTACAACCGTTATGTGAATTATAATTTTCGACACCTCTAGAATGGACTTTACTCGTCAGCTCCTTACGTGGTAGCTGCGGTGCTTACAGTAATCTACGGGCCATTAGCAGATTATTTGATTCACAGCAATGTGACTTCTAGAAAAACCTCCAGACGCATATTTCATGGCTTGGGTAAGATTCTGAGCGGAATAAAACAACATTTCGTTTGCTTCGTTGACTTTTAACGTTTTATTATTAAACAACATTGTTTTGCTAAATTGGTTACAGAAGATTGTAAATCTGATGTATATCTTTCATAGTGACGGATATTGGCAAAATGTATCTAGCATTTTACAAAAATGACAAAAACGATATTAAAAGACTTAAAGTCGTAAAATCGTACTGAGTGTATTAGCTATAAGTTTAGCAGCATTAGTTTAGTAACTTTTCATGAGATTGAAGGCAAATTAAAAGTTCATATAAACAATTTGGTCCAATAAATCCGTAATTATTTGACGATTATCAATGTTTAGTATTTAAATAAATTCTATAAATTAACTCATGCAGCGAATTGCTGCACTTTTAATAATTGTTTTAATCCATTGCAATTAGTGCTCATATGTTATTCAAATGAATCTTTTAATTCGCAGTAATTGCTTATCCATCTAATTGATTATTCCGCGCTGCTAAATCAATTTTGCTAGCATTATTAATTATTACTTTACTTCTGATTTGATTCTCAGGAGCCTTTCTGCCCGCATTAGCCCTAGTATGGCTGGCATATGAGAAAAACCGATGGGGAATAGCAGCTTTACTTATAGTGGCAATCAGCTTGAATGGGGCCATGTTTTGTGGATACAACGTGAACCATATTGATATATCGCCTCGCTTTTCTGGAGTGCTTTTTGGTATTTCGAACGGAATTGGACAAACGCTGGCGATTTTAGCACCTCTACTCGTACAGTTTATTGTGTATGACGAGGTAAGGCCTTCATTGCGTGCTTAACCCAGTTTCAGGTTTCAGCAGTTAACGATTTTGCCAGGCCTGGTTTTGTTCCACATCTTTGACGATCATTTAATCGAAACGAAAATGATCAATTTTAATATAAAAGCGGTGGCAAAGTGAATTTTCTGAATAGAAGAAACCAGATTTTTTTCTTAGTTTGGTTTTGGCTAAGACGATGACGAAGTATCTGGAAAAAGTATTTTTTTATTTAAATGATATAAGCTTTTTTAATTTCATACATCAATAGTATCGCAAAAAAATACCTACTATCGTAAAATATAAATATTTGATTCTTTTTTCATTTATCGGCAGTATGATTTTACAGCATCTAGTCTTAGCAGTATCTATTTTTACATAAGTCCTATGACCAACATCGGTAAAAGTTCTCTTTCACTTTTTTCTACTACACCCACTGGATAAACCCATGTAAAATAATATGTTGTAAACTTTTATACTTTGATCAACCCGACTATCCGCGTTCTCTAAGAAATTGCGAAATCCTCCTGGTGTTAAATTGCCAATAATAAATAATGCCCCAACCGCTTCACTTCCAATGGCTGCATCTCAGACATTTTAGGTTTTTGGACGCTGAGTGAAATTTTCCCGCATCCATCCAGGAATTTAATTTGCTCAAATATCGGCAATTCTTCCAATTGGTCCTTCTGTCAAATCAGAAAGTTGCCATATGAAGATTTGTAAGAAAACTGCATTAAAAATAAACTATCAATTAAAAGAATTCTCGATTCATAATTGCTCGGATTTTTGCTTGAACTGAAAGCGTCTGCAAAAATAAATATTTCAGATATGTTCAATAGCTTGTAACATTCGTTCGAAAAATTGGTTCGATTGTTATGAAAGTTCATGGCAGGCAATTTTGTGAATGAATTTTCCCCGGCAAAAGCACGAACCAAAGGCGAGTTGCTTTATCAAATATGCCATGACCAACTTTGCGGAATTCAACAAACTTGAACGGAAATAGAGAAATATTTTGGCGCAAATTTTATATCAAATTCTATTGAACTGCGCTCTTTCAAAGGAGAGTCAATCATCGAAACAACTATTCAGCAGAAGTTAATCAATTCGCAATCTTGAAATTTGTCCAAAAACACGTTTGAAAACTTCACTTGCGTTATTCGGCTTTACTTTACTCACTTGCTGATCACGGAATTTATTAAAGAATGTTTTAAAACTGCTAATATTTATTCTAAAAAATCATCCGCAATCGGTTAAAATTATGCATTATGTAATTTAAATATTTACGCACTTTCTCGTATCAGTATTTAATGAGATATGTTTGAGATGTCATCTGATACGAGTAAATAGTTATTAGATCGTATCAAGTAGCGTAATAAAACAAAAAATCTCACTTATACGGTTAAAGCACAATCTGATCTCACTATTTAGTGAGGCTGAGGCGAGATTTTTTGAAAAAACGCACGGTCAATGAAGTTCAAAAGAAAAGGCAAAAATTCCACTAAAAGAATGCTCTAAAAGAACATTTCGACTAATTGTAGAACCAGGTTGTCTCCATTAGGTGGGGCTCATTCACTCGCTGGTTTTAGTATTTAGAGAATATTTGTTTTAACTCCTATAATAATTTCGGAAAATTGGGAGCAAATTGGCTAAACTTATATGCAAATATTTTATATAAGTGACTTAAAATGACGGGCTTGCTCTAGGCCTGGGTAACACTGTGTTAAGCTGCGCTATTGAGTGTTGCCGCTCTCTGAGGTTACGAGCTATAACTCATCGGTTAATGAGTTCACAATTCATTTGTTGAAGCTTTACGAGACCCGAGACTGGAATTTTCACATCTAAAAAAAAGGTCATCAGCATTTCTCCTGGGTGACGTTTTATTACTTTGTTCAAACAACTAAAAAAGTAATCTAGATTTTCCCTGTAACAGAACTCAAACAACTCAACTAACAAAACTTAGTCCGTAAATAAATGAAATTGAAATTGAAACTCAACAGAGTTCAAAGAAAGTCGGCGAATTTTCTTGTAAAATCGATCTCTTAATTGTTTTGCATGAATGATTCAGTTTGCCAGTATTTTACAGTAAAACGTTAGGAAAAACGCGGTTTTTCTGTTTAGACAGTGTTGTTTAGAAGTATTGACCAAAAAGTGAAGAAACGCCAGAATTCGAATTTTCTCCATAATTTTTTGTAAGCTTTTGCAATCGGATCGTTTTTTCATGATGATCCTAATTACTTTCGGTAAAAACTGAATAAAATTATTTGGTTTTTGTGCCCAATTCGAAGATGAAATGGGTTTTCTAAAGTTACCTGCAAACCGATGAATGAGGGGAATTTTCTAGCAAAATTAATTTTATCGTTTTTATCTGAAACTAATGCTTTTTTGCGTTTTCGATTAAAATCTTTTGGTTTTGTGATAGGTTTTGGAGAAAATCTTAATTGTTTTCGGGAAAAAACGAGAGTAATTTATTTTCGTTTTTGTCCGGAATTCGACACTGAAAAATGTTTTTGTCAAATTTTTGCAAAGCTATAAATTTATCTTATAATTTTTTGCGTTAAAGTCCTCCAGATTGTCAGTGTTTTCAAGTGAAACTCTACAAAATAGAGCGGTTTTGAGTAAAAAGAAAAGCAAAAAAAATCGGTCAAATCTGAAAAAAACAGATTTAAAAAAAAAATTACAGTCTTCAGAGGAATGGAGGTGACGAGGTTTCCAAATAATATGTTATACACTTTCGCTTATTCTGTTCGTTTTTTGATAGAAAATTATTTGCCTTTTGCTCCAAATTCGAAGCTGGAAACGAATTTCAAAACTTTGTACAAAGCGACGAAGGATTCAAAATTAATTTCATAATTGTTCCTTAAAATACCTTGACATTGTCAGCAATTTTTAAGTGAAACTTTAGAAAATTCAGGATTTAGAAGAAAGAGTAACTTGGCTAAAACTGGAAAATTCTGAAATCTGAAAATTTTACTTTTAAAATATTATTAATAAATGGCTTTTACAATAAATCTAAAAAAATCATCAACATTTCCCAGTAACGGAACTGAATTACTGCGCCGGTGCGTTGGGTTGGCGCATCAAGCCATTTGTGTATCACTGCGCCAACTCCTAAAAATTATCTGAGTTATCCAGGCCTAGCTTGCTCATCTCAGAATTTTGTGAGAGACTTTTGAAAACTCCATCAAATTTCAGGCAATTTGCGAAAGTTATCGTTCTATCGTATCGAAAATATCGTTCTAAAGCCTCAGTTAGAACGAATGTTGCCAATACTGGCTCACTAATTGGACTCCGTTTTTAGCTAGTAATTTTTAAGGTCTCAAACGATTCGAAAAAATTGTCAGCCGATCATATTAAACAACGTTTAACGTAACGTTGTTAAAGGGCGGCAATCAAGTAAATACGTCTTAATTTCAGTCAAACCGATCTTAATTGAAATTCCAATTAGGGTGTTGAGTTCAGGGGTATTTGCTCACAACAAATGGCGCGTTACCTAAGCGCTCTATTTAATGAAATCTGGGATGTAGGAATATTTATTACGTCACCTATTACTTGACACTGACTCTAAAGGCCAGATGCATTAGCTCAAAGCGTTTCCATTAGTTTCGACCTTAAACTGCTCACTGAATTGATGGAATCCTTTATAATTTTGCTTGGCTCGTATTTGTTATACCGAACAATAGCTTTAAGTTATGGAAGCAATATTAATCATTTGGTCCGATCTAATGCTGTTTTATTGCAGTTTTATTGTGGGAATCCAATGTTAGTTTCAACCACTATTGGATCCGTATAATATAAAGTATATAGGAGCTATAAAATTGTTTAAAAACACTTCATAAAAGGAATGTAAAATGTTCAATCTTGTCAATACTTGTTGGAAAGTTTTGACCAACATGGCCGTTTTTCACTATCAACTCGATAATATTCTGTTCTTTATTGCTTCTAAAATAAACCTTCATACATTACATTGACTGATATAAAGCGTACTAACTAACTAAGTTTACAATGATTCGATAATTGCAACTTTTACTAAAGGAATCCGTTATTCACCATCAATGTCTTATTAAATGTTTGTGGGAACGGTTATACATAATAAACTTTTATTATAATTCGTGTTGTAAAATAATATATCCTATCTATTTTCAATGAGTTCGCTGTTTCCGGCTTTACTACCAACTATATTAAATATAAAGTTTTCAATTGGAACACCCGGTATTTTCTAACATCTTTATATTATATTAAACATTTACGTTATGTTTTAGATAATAGATGACAATATTTTAAATTTGGGCACGATATTTTTGTCGATTTTGAAACTGCTTAGTTTTTAAACTTGATACTGAATATTGACTAGATGCTCTTAGAACAGGGGGATCAACTATCTTCAGTCAAAATTTTACTTCAAAAACTATCTAACGTAGAAAGATCATTTGAGTAGATTGATCAATTCTGCAGTAAACCTGCTTAGCTCTAAGCTGTTCGGCTATTAAAACATTAACAAGTGCTTGAATGTTCTCAGAAAATAATTTTCATGCGCCGAAATACCGTTTACTTACGGATCGTTTTGATCGTTCTCTATCTTGATTTACTTCGGTCTTCAGGGGAACTTTGTCAGATTCTTAAATTAATTTGCTGGAATTAAATAACGCATTGAGAAGCCAGGGATGAGATCTAGTTGGAACCTGCACATTTCATCTTCCAGAGTAAATATTTTCAAAAAAATGTGCCTTATCGCTGTTTGTTAATATTCCCCAACTAAACTCAACGTCTTCAGAATTGGTGTTATTTTGGGCATACTTTGTATGCAGTCTGTATATAATTCTAAACATTGGCAAATTGTAATAAACTAATCAGCAAATCAAGACTGTATTTAAATTCTAAAGGTTCTAAAGCATATAAGTTATACCTGTGGTTTCAGGCAAAATTAGACTGATTAGAGATTCCTAATACTTAATAGAGTATACTCATAACAAGAGAATACTTGTGACGACAATGGCAATAAAATGCGCTCTACTAAATTTGCGTAATTTGTTATATGTTCGCAGCATACCGAAATAGTGAGCATTTTTCTCATAAATTTTGCATTTTATTGAATCGGGCTTGGACAAACCGCATTCTGTGAGTAGATCTTGCAAGTTGTGTTATTTAGGTATAAGTATCTGCGACAAATTATAAAATACACTTTTAACACTTTGGCTTTCCTTGAAAAACAATTATCTGAACTGCTCAACAAAATGTACGTTACACAGCCAGATTTTCCTTAAATTTGCACCTTGAAAAATGCTGATCTCTTCAAGCGGTTTGATTTCTATTTGAAGCGTTATCTAGCCCCATTTGTTTTCTGCTAGTCGATGTTTTGAAAAAATTATGCATCTCAGACAGAAAATTTTCTACAGACTACAGAAAGGCTTGGCAAAAAAGAGGATTTGTAGGTCTCAACCCCAAAAGTTTCAATACTAACCACAAATTACCCTAAACGATTTTTCGCATTTTTCGACCATTCCGTTTATTTACAGAGTGGTCTCAACAAATCAAACAAATTTTTGGTCTTGCAGCGACAACGTTTCTGCTTTTAGTCCGATTTTTACGATCTTGAGGTCATGTTGAAGCTAACATTTTGTGGGCAATTGAAAATAAAATTCGACATACAGAAATATCAGATTCTGGAACATTTTTTCTGCTGTTGTTCCGCTTTGCACAACGGGGAGCTGATTTTGAACCAAAACTCCATTTTTTTTTCCAAAACTTTTAGGACTTTTAACTAAACTGACGTTCACTTTTTTATATTTCATTCACTCATGCCCGGAATGCATGCAACCGGGTATCTTGAATTATTATTTTCTCAAGTCCATGTTAAAATTTTAGCTTGAGCATACACAGTAGATTTGGAAAATCTGTTCAAGAAAACAAAAATGTTCACTCCAAAACCAAAAAATTATGTTTTTTTATTCCGCGGTAAATAAACGAAATGAGCGAGCAGTTCAAAATTATTTTTCGATTTGAGATCTATCTTAATGATTGTGATGCTAAAATACAAAACATATTTTTACATCAAACCGGAAATACGGGAAACTTTTCTGAAAACCGCGCAAAACTCCCCGTAGAAATGTCATCTGATGCACTATTTTTTGCAAAATCTCGCACTAACCGAAAATGAGTTGCACTAAATCACGCTTCAAACAGAAATAAATTCGCTCTAAACGATCAGAATTTATCCAGTTACAAAGTGAGTTAAAATTTATCAGTGTAACGTTGATTTTTTTGATCAGCTTCCTTTATTTCCAATTCTACTACCAATATGGTAAACACTCTGATACTTAGGACACCTATTTCAGACAATTTTTAGAATATATCGAAACAAGTCTTGAAAGTTTTTCTAAATTCTGCCATAAGTTAGGGCATGCAAAGTCCAGATTATAATTTTCTCTATCCAGAACCAGAACCAACCTTTCTTTCTTAAGCCAAACTCACCCGGATAAAACTTAAAATCATAAAAACAGGTTATACAAAAACAGAAAAGAAAACTGTCAAAAGTTTTAAGTTGTAAAATGATATGATAAAATATTAAAAAAATAAGAAAAAAACATTCACTTCATTCAGGATTTAGTTAAGCTACAATTCAGTAAAAAGCAGATGCAAATCAAATCCAGTTTTGAAAAACACTGACTTGAGAATTTGATGCACAAATATTGAATTATACTCGTTTTCGTAATTTTGCTAAGAGGTGTATTTGGACAGATTTAGATGAAAACTACCTTAATGACCCAAAAAATCTACAAAATAAAAACATGCCTTTCTTAAGGCTTAAAATAGCACAAATATAGCATATTCTGAATATGTAATTGGCAAGAATAAAAAAGTCTTCAAATCGTATCAAATTAGCTTCTCGTCTGTTTTCTGCGTTAACCAAAATATTTTGTTTCAGACCGATAAAGATTTGTGGAGGACAATGTTCGTTATAGCTGCTATTATTTATGCAGCAACAGCTGTGGTTTTCATAACTTATTTGTCCGCTGAACGACAGTGGTGGGATGCCATTTCCAGGCCAAGCAAGGGAGATTTCCAGTCGGAATTACAATCTCATCGTGATCAGGAATTAATTAATCAGTAATTGTATTTTATGTACCTAACATTAGCTTACAAAATGGACTGTAATTCATGTTTATCAATAAACTAAAATAATTAACTTGAAAACTTATTCAATGACACTTTCTTCTTTATAGTGGCTGAAAGTCACTGCATAACATTCCTGATTCAAAACTCGAATTCAATCTATGAAAGAATATTGAATTTATAGAAACACTGAATATATGATTTGGGCCTGTGTGAATACACAAATCAATTTTGGAAAAGTTACGGAGGCAGGTTTCAACTCTGAGATCTATTTTGCTTTTCCATCGCTTCAGAATTTATACCGTTATTGCAAGTTATTTATATAAATAACTGATTTTCGGTTCTGCTTTTATCTTTTAACTCGTCGTGTCTCTCATTCGCAGCCGACATAAACGGTTGCTTTTCGTTTCAAAAACAAGGGTTAAATGATTTTTACTTTTACTTTCGAGCTCTTCGTCTTACTTTTATTATTTGCACTTTTGGGCCTTTCCTTGCAGTTTTACTTACGTTGCATGTTGAGATAAAACCCCACGTATTATTTTATATGTATTTCCTCGCTTAATAAAAATATTTTTTACTTTACAACATCTTTTTGAATTAAATTTTAAACTGTCTCTAAATTCTACCTGACCATCAAAAACTGCACTTTTAGCCACAAAATAAAAATTCGTCATTCATAGTTGTTCATGTGCAATATCATAGAATTCCACCAACATTATCAATTTAATTCTTAAATAAGTTGTTATGCTTGTCTTGTGAAAAGAAGACATAAACTATCAACTATTCAATTAAGCAAATAAAATCAGTTTATTGTCGTCAAATAACTGAATTATCTTGGTTTAATGAGCTGAAATAAATTCCGCAGTTTTCATGAGAAAACACATTTTATGATTCAGATCTCTCGAGATTTGAGTGCCGTTAAAAGAGATCAAACGCGACATAAAATACGCTTAAAACTCATTGAAGGATACCAAAAGGGACCGAAGTTGGTACATAATTAAGCTCTGGCTTGCGCTGGAATAAACCCTGCTGGGCATAGATTCTCAAAGCGTTTAGCAAATATTTACAAATTAACAAATTTCTTACTTACCGAAATGAAACGTTAGAATAAGTGTTTTTGCCATCGGGTGTTAGTGTCCAGTTGAAGATCACATTTGAAGATGTAGTGTGGATGTTGAAAATATCACCTTCACAGCTTGGATTTTGCAGACTATCCAAACCATACGAAAATATGCTGGGTATTGACGTTTTTATTGCCAGTAGTTCTAAGGGACTTTTGTCTTTTTGGCTGATATGAACTGAAAAGAAAGAAATATATTAAAAGTAAGCATAAGTTATCAATCCACATATAAATAAGGTAATTTGCAGAATTATCTTTCTAAGGATCATACAAATTTATTTCTGATTCTAACAGCTTAAATAAACGAGATGTGCGATGGAACGCTTTAATCAACATTTTAATAGCTGAAAAAATTGTAAACAAGGACATCGTTAAACGTTTGAAAAGTTACGCGATGTTTAGTTAAATAATGCCCCAATTCAAAAAATCACAGATTGGTTAGCAACTGTTAACAGCTTGCAAAAAGGTTCTAACTGATTTTCACTCTCACATTTATTTATCCTATTCCAAAGATCTACACCATTTCAGCCAACTCCCAAATATTCAACGGTAAAAGCTTCTCAAAAACACATAAATTCAGCATTAGTCAAGCATGGAATGGCAGTATAAATCCCTGAATATTTCTTCTTAATGTCGCCAGCATTAACGTTAATTTTCGTCGGAAATTTATTTGCAGAACTCGACAGCCGACAGCCAAGTTTCTGGGGGGTAATTTCGTATTTCCCGTATATTCAACAGTAGGTACATGGTTGTTTGCTTGCCGACTTTCCGGACAAAAGACGGAAGGTAATTGACGAGTTAGATTTGCAATGGAACGGTAATTTTATTTAAACCAGTTTGCTTTTAGGGATTTGTAAACCAACAACTTCGGAGAGAAATATGGTAATGCTTTTGTGGATTTTTATTGACTAATTTAATAATATATTAGTAAGTTTACTCTGTTCAACTATTGCGATTCAAATCTTTCGTAGTTTAAAACTTTATTATTATTTTGTATGGTGATGATCGGTGAATGTAAAATATGAGTAATGAAACCTTAAATTATTTCATTGTTATCTAGAGTTATTTAAAGTCATCGCAGCCTAAATAATAAAATGTTTAATAATAATAGAGTAAAATTTATTACCTGCACTGAACTGATATTATGAACAAATTTCGCATCTAAGCAAGATTGTTGTATTTCTTTGGCCCATCGCCTTTAATAATTAAAAATAACGCTTGCTTGTGTAAGTTAAGGGGGAAATTCCCTCTCACTACGGCCTTTAATCTTGAAAAACCGGGATTTTTCAAACATCTTTATTGCCTAATCGCTGGAAGAAAAATCTGCATTGTGTAGCTTGTTCAACTCTCTTGCCAGGTCTTTGGTTATTGAGCTAGTTTTTAAAAAGCATTCCATTCGCCCTTCTCATAAATATGTGTTTTTATTTAAGAACACATTTTCTGCACTTTCTATCAGTCATAAACGAAAGGGGGAAAATAAAAGAACCAGAATATGTTTAACCTGCGTCAATAAAGTAAGCAGTAATTAGATTACAGTGACTGACTAACTAAAACATAAAATTTACATACACGTTTCATTGGAAAAACTCGAATTTTCAATCCAAATGGAATCTGCTAATTGAAAATGGACACAAGTCTGTGACGAGCGAAAACAATGGAAGTGGAACGTGCCAAAAATGTAAATTTCCATTAGTGCTTCGATTTTCCATTGAAAAACTATTGAACGTCTAATAACGTTTTATGATCGAAACTGAAAGGCATCAGCACCGAAGTAAACATACATTTTCATTATTATATTTAAACGGTTGCGTGTCGTGGAAAATTGAAACCAAAATGAAAAACATGACTATAAATAAAGGGGCGTCGCTCGACTGGTCTGTGACCTATATTTTTCACGGAGCCAAATATTATCCTTTGACTAGGGAGAACACATTTATTGCGAAACATTTTAGTACGATGTGTTTATCAGAAATTGGCGAATTAGGAACGATAACACCCG